TATATATATACACACACACAACGGAGCTCTGACTTCACCAGATAGGTTCGTTCGCTCAGCCTTGGATGGATGATGTCCACCCCGCTATACGTTTACTTTAAAGTTCAGCTTCAAAGTTATGATAACCACCACCACTATACAGATTACATTAAAAAAGAAATCAAAGTTATGATAACCACCACCACTATACAGATTACATTATCAAAAAAAAAACACAGACGAAAACATTTTACTTACCAAAGCGATTTGTTGTGTCATCACGAATTTATAGACAGCGTGTTTTTTATTGCTCTATATAATAATATCAACCTGCTATAGGCTTACGCACCCATAAATAATTATACAGGTCAGCAAACATTCACAACTTATATTATTAAACAAAATCTAAGTATAAATTGATGGCGCTACGGCCATTGGGAGGAAATGTTCCTAGACTACTATGGCTAACGACAGCTACGCTTCACCATTTAAAGGTTCTTCTATGAATGGAATGAACGAAGCACGAACTCCTGTAGACCAAACCCAGTACCGTTTTTCGATTTTTAATGTCGTGCGGGAAATTAACCCACAACACATTCAGCAGCGTTAATATCGCGAGAAAGACAGCTAACCCATCCCAGAAGCCCTCCAAGCATGGAGGAATTAATTCCTCCATGCTCCCAAGCATGGAGGAATTAATTCCTCCATGCTCCAAGTACTGGCAACGCACGTATAGGGCGCACTTCTTCCATGAAATTCCGCCCTATTCGTCTATCAGATCTAATGTATTATTTAGTTCATTAGCTCTGTTAAAATTATTTTGATTTTTTTAAAAAATTAGTTAGTTTATAGTCTGGGGTGAACTAAAGTTGAGTAATCCTTTCTAAAGCCCGTTTGTTCGCTCGGTTGGTTTCGTCTGATATCTCATTCTGAAGGATACGAGGTGAATTTGTGAGATGCGACAATAAATTGGTCTCTAGTTATTAAATACGGTATCTTGCTGATCCCCTTTCTTTAAAAAAGATAGAAATGTATCCTAAATTGATATATCTGGTTGCTTTGAAGAATTTTGATAAACATGAGGACAAAAAGATCCTATTTTATCCTCTTGGGTCCTGGCGTATGATGCCATTTATTTAGATCAAGATCATGTTGTTGTTATTAACACTGACTGGAACTACTGTCTGATGTTCCAGAAAAGGTGTCTGCTGCTCTCTCTAGTTGGATTTACTATGTCATTGCCTAACAACCTCATGAAATGAAATGCAACTTTGCATACCTTCTAATTAGTAATTAGGATACTAATGTCCTATTTCAGCCTTAAAACCAATGATTTGTTGAATATTTTAATATCGGGTCTCAAGAGGTTATAGTACTGGAAATACTGTACTTGAAAAAAAAAACAATATTTAGACCTATACGTTTCTCCCGAGTTTTGAGAGCATTGGAAATGACCTAATTGCAAACAGAACTCATTATTAACTGTCTAATTAATTTGTATTCTACTCTTATGATCCCCAAAACCTTAACTAAAACATACTCGTTAAAGAGGAGTGGACTGCTAGATTATCATTACAGTATACTACTGAATTAATCCATTAGATTAATGAAAATATGTTTTCTCGATTTCGAGAAGGCATTTAATGTTGAGCACAGTGCATTCTCTGATGTTTCGAAAGGCAATAATACAATATAAATTCTAATATAAATTATAATTATTAGAAATGAGGAAATCGAGAAATTTGAACAGCAACTCTCCCTTAACGATTTCCTACACGTTTTCCAACAATTAGATATTGAAAACAAATTATCTTTATTCTCGGCAATGACAATAACTTATTTCATCAAAAAATGAAAATCTTGATCGACAAATTTTGCCAATCCTTAGCTAAAAGAGCAGAAAAAGGTGTGTGATCTTTTTAAAGATTAAATTGACTTTGTGTTTTATGTTTCTTTTTATTTTTATTTTCTTTTACTTTACTGTATTTCTTATGTACCATATATGTATGACTTTGCCTTACACATTCAGTACGATGTACCGTTACATTATATAAATGTATGTGTAGCCTATATGTGCATCAGTATTATATATACATATATAC